CCCAGGGGACCAGGGTGACTGCAGGGAGCTACACCCTGTCCCAACTCCATCCATTCACAGGTTCTTTCTCCAGAACTTCCCAAGAATCAGGTCCCCCATTGCTAAGACCATGTAGCACCCTCCCCCCCCCAAACCAGGTCCCGACTTCCTTCAAAAAAGAATGAAGTGTCCAACTTCCCTAAGAACCTCGAAAACTGCTTCTTAACCCATTTCTTCCTTAGTCCTGTAAATCCAGGGCTGGGCACTGGATCCTGGGCTCCCTAAGTCTGAGCCGCAGTGGGCAGCAGCCAGCACGCGGCACCTGGGTGGAGCAGCCGAGTCTCCAGGGCGGCCTTGAGGGACACGAGCAGCTGCTGCCTCTGGTCGGTCCTCTCCAGGCAGTACTTGAGGTCCTCGATGGCTGGCCGAGAGTCTGGGAAGTCTGCAAGAAGAAGGACATCCCTCGGGCACGTGCGCACACACACGCACAGACTTGTGCGGACCTGAGGGTGCCCAGGACAACGAGGAGAACCAGCTCCAGGTGCTAGACGTCACCCTGACACTTTGGTGTGCTGACACATTTGACCACAATAAGCCCACAAGGCAGACAGAGGGATGCACAGGGGACAGTCCCAAGCAGGAACCAAGGCTGAGGGAGCAAAGAGGTGGGTGCCCAGAAGCACCCATCCAGCACCTGCCATACCCGCCCTGATCCAGACACTGGGCCAAGGGAGAGCCTGTGGTTGGGGGAGTGGCCACCACTCTGCTCGGTTCACTACCCTGCAAGAGCTGAAGGCAAAGATACAAGGAACCCAGATGTGGACATGGAGGGGACACAGCAAAGCCCTGGGAAGTCTCTTTAGAAAGGTAGGTGTGCCTGGTGTGGGGGGGGCCAACCTCGGACGATGCTGAAGAGCTCCTCGATGCGCAGGCTGGCATAGATGCGGTAGAAGAACCTCTGCACGTGGCAGCGCCAACGGCGCAGTGTGTTGCCGGCCTCAGGGGACGCAGGCCTGGCGGGGCCATCCTGCAGGAATACCTTGCCAAGCCAGCCAACCACCCTCTCGATCCACTGCAGGGGAGAGCACCAGTGTGTGGGGGTATGGGGAGGGGTGCCAGCCCCAGCCTGACCCAGAAGCTGGGAGAACCCCCATAGCTACTGTCCCCCTCTCCCTGTCAGCTGGGCCCCAGGGGAGCCCTGAAGGCCACCTGTGTCTGGAGATCAGGAGTGTAGCAAAGTCTGCAGGATGAGGGGCCCAAAAGGGGGCATCCCTGGCCCCGCATCAGTCCTCAAGCCCTCGCCTACACATCAGCACCCATGCTTACCTCTGGCGACAGCAGCCCTAGCGTGAGCCACACACTGCCTGCACGCTGTGCCTGGTGGGCTTGCTTGCCTTCCCAGAAGTGGATAAGTCTGCCCTTGGGACTAGAGATGTGAGTGACTATTACCCACCATCCCGTGCAGATAATGCAGTACTTGATGAAAACATCTCTGAGTGCATGTAAGTTCACAGGAGGTGACCTCCCCACTCAGACCCAAGGGCACACATGTCTTCACAGACCAGCTAGCCAACGGCGAGACTGCCCTGGCAGTGCATTCCCTCCACTTTGGGCCTCCAGGACTTGCACCCACCCTAGACCACCAGTGTGGGAATGCCTGCTCTGAATACCCCCCACTGCAGCCAGTCTGCATCCTCTGGAGACGGACACCTGGAAACAGTGGGGGAAGGACAGTTGAGAAACTGGAGCAGGTTGGATGACCCCACATGGCTGGGCCCAGTTCCCAGACGACTCTGGGAGCCTGAAGCAGAGCCCCAAAGCACACCCCAATAGAGTGGGTGCCCCAAGGCCCCACACGGGGACTCCCCAGCTCCACGCTGTAGAGCAGGCTAGTTACAGGTCAGTGAGCAAGGGGGAGCCCACATTCAGGTGGGACAACAAAGAGGAGAAGGGGTCCATTCACTGACCCCTCCCTTGGGCCCTGCTTCACCACACCTACTCGAGAAGCCCCCTGAGAACCCTGGACCCTGCACTGTCTCCAGACATGGGATTCTCTGCAAACCTGCCAAGCACATCCTAAGTTCGTCCACACTGTTACTAGGGCCCAGAAAGGCTGGCATCCACCCAGCACCAAGACAGCTCCAGCTACCACCTGGTCCTGGTCCACCCCAGCATCCATACTCTGGCTGCTTCTAAAGACAGGGTGAGAGACAGCCTGTGGCTCACTTGGGAGAGCGTGGTGCTGACAACACCAAATTAAAGGTTACGATCCCCTTACCGGTCATCTTTAGAAGAAAAATAATAATAAAGCCAGGGTGTCAGGTTCCTTAGTCCCCAGGAAGGTGCAGCCCCAGGGAGGGGTCCTCACCTTGTGGAACTCACGCAGGAAGGAGCGCTCATACTCGCCCCGGCAGCGGTCCTCCATCCTCTCCCGGGTTACCTGGTGCAGGGTGGTGGTCACCGCCTCGGCACTGACCCGCTCCAGCAGACTGAGCCTGTGTCTAGAGGAGAGCCCACCCGTGGAGCACCCATAGCACACACCCGCCCTCCTCGTCCGGGGCGGCCCTACCCCTCATTGTGCACCCCCCCCAATACACCCAGCGCACACCTCTCCACAGCCCTTCCACAGGCCAGGGGCAGCTGTACCAAGGGCTTGGAGGAAAAGTGGCTGTGAGGACAGAGCACTGGCAAGGCACTGCTCCCCTGCCCAGCTGGCCTCAGCCCAGGCCGGGACACTGGCCTTCCCCATGTGACCAGTGGCAGCAAGCGTGGCTACCAGAGGCCCCAGCCTCATCTCCCCAAAATGGCTTTGAAACAACTAAAGGCATTACAGCCCTAGCTGAACAGATACAGTGCCGTTGTTTCTGCCTTTCAGTGCAAACCATGGTCTATAGCAGCAAAAAGACTCAAAAAGGAGTGAAAAGAAAGGTTTCTGTTTAATCTTCACCGGATGAATCCAGCAGAAGCCCTTCAGGGCCTCCTGAGCCCTGACAGCAACAGGACCACTCCCTCAGTCTACCTGAGAGACTCTCTTCCAAATAGCCTCATTGCTGTCACTCTGTTTGATACGACAAAATCGCCACAAATGGCCAGAACGTATGTCAGCTGACAAAAGACTACAACACGATCTGGCTTTAACAAGAAAAAGAACAAAATCTTTTCTCTCCAAAGGTTTGGAAAGGAATCCTGCTTGCCCACATATTGGACTCATCTCCCTGATAAGTTCTAGAGAGAAAAACAGCAAACCTGCTGTTCACTATTACAGGGCAGGGACTCCCATGAAAAAGAACGTCATTCCTACCCTAGAGAGTCTACTAAAGACACAGAATTCCACATAACCCAGGGACTTTACAATCAATAAGAAATCTGCTACTGCAAACACAAGCCACGTTGGCCCTTAGCAGGCGCAAAGCATGAAACTCTGAGTTAGGCGTGAGTGACAGAAAAGACCCACCCATGTCCAACACAAAAGGTATAAACCCACCGCATAAAAATCCTCCCTCTGTCATATCCCTGGCTATCAAGAGAAGTAGCAGAGACCACCCCCCACCTCCGCCAGCTTATCAGCTCTCTGCAAAGGCCAGGTGGACCCAGGGGAGCAGCAGGGAATAGTAGGAACAGGGGCGTGTCCACCAGGCGCAAGTACTCACAGGACCTGGCTGAGCTGATGGAATTGCTCCAGCGCCTGGCGGCACCAGCACTGTTGCTTGTCACTGCCACACCCTGCACACAACGGGCTCTGCAGAAGCCGGTAGTATCGGCGGCGGGCATACCGGCTGTCCAATTCCCCCTCCAGTTCTGGGTCTGTGCCCCCTTCTCCTTTCCTTTTACTCTGCATATAGACTCTCAAAAACCGCCCATAGAGGCGCTGGATCATCTCCTGGAAGGTTCTGGGGGTGGAAAAGAAGAGGACTCCCCGCAACATGGTGTGGACCTTTTCCCGCAGCCCCTGAGCGCCAGTGCCCATCAGTAAGCCCAGGCGAGTCCATTTCTCCAGGAGCTCTAGGCTACGCAGGTAGGGATCCAGGCGGCTCTCCAGCAGGCCGAAAGCGTCAAGGAGCAGCAGAAGGCACTGGGGCTCATCGACAGAGTTCTCGCGCTGATAGATGGCATTCCAGAACTCAGGGGAGATGTTGGCCTGCAGGTCGTTCTGCAGCACCTCTACGAACCACTCCTCCAGGACCGAGTGCAGACCATGGCCCCTCAGAACCTCCACCGCCGCCCGGAGCTCTTCCTCCTTTGGCGGGACCGCTCCGCTGGTCCGGGAGGACGCCTGGAGTGCAGAAAACGGTGAGGAGAGGGGAACACAGCGCAGAGGGGAAAGGCGGGGAAGGGCCAGGGACAGGGGAGACAGGAAAACCCTCGTGCGCGGAGCACAGATGTTAGGCCGACGCTAGAAAATGGCTGCCGAGGAGCCGAACGAGACGGGGCGGTGGAGGAAAGAGGCAGGGCAGAGGCGGGCGACGGATGGAGCCGTATGAGCCCGAGGGTGGACGCCCGAAAGCGTGCAGGGTCCCAAGAACCCCGTGCGGGCCCACCGCTGTCATCCCGGGCCTCACCAGCCCCAGCGCAGCCGGCGGCACCAGGCCGGTGCTCACGGTATTCCAGGCCACCAACAGCTCCTGTCCAGGCCCAGGGCCGCCGTCCTCCGCTGCCGCCGCCGCCATCTGTACCCACTAGCTCTCGGATCCGACGGCGCGGCGCGCGGTGATGACGCACCCGAGAGGCGCGCGGCGATGACGCTCCCGAGAAGCGCGCGGCGATGACGCCTAGGCCGGCGCTCTGTCGGGAGGCAGTGCGCAGGCGCGG